GAGAGAGAGAGAGAGAGAGAGAGAGAGAGGATGTGTAGACTGCAGTAGTGGTGTGGTCGATGTGATGTGCCTGTGCAGGCTATAGATTGATGTCGGGGCGGTCAGAGGGTGATGCGCTGAGACGGTGCTCGTGTGACGATCGCAGAGTGACGAGCGATGAGAGGGGGGGTGAAGGGATTGACGAGGAAAGATCAAAATGCGGAAGCAAGCAAGCAAGGAAGGAAGGAAGGCTGAATGCAAACGCGAAGCTCCGAGACGCGCCGCCGCTTCTTCACCCAACAGAGGCAGTCGGTTCAAGCTCAGGGTCCAAGGCGAGCGGGAATTTGGCTGGCTTGAAAGCTCAGTCCTTTTGTGGAGGCCCAACTCCGCCCGCCCAAGCAAAACCTTGTCGGATCGCGGCGCGCTTTTCTTGGTTCCTGGAAAGCGTTCAAGCCTCGGCGCACTCGATGCGGCAAGGTGGTGAATGAAAGGATCACATTGAAGCATAGCAGGAGACGAATGTGGAATGGGTCTGTGCTGGTGCGAGGCACACAGCGCGCAGAGGCATTTCCGCTGGATGGGTATAGCAAGGAATGAGAGGCCGCGTTAAGGGTGCGTAAGGGCGTGAGAGGTCGTGAGAAGAAGAGGCAGTCTAGAACATGGTGGCGAATGCGTCGGTGGCGTCCTTGACTGTAGACGAGGCGTAGAGCGGCTGACCGTTGGCCCCGACGCCGTTCTTTCCAAAGGTGAAGCCGGCCCACATGCCGCGTCCACCGGCGCCCGAGCCGGTTTCGCGCACGGCTTCGACGTTCTTCTGCTTCTCGTGGACGTCCTTGTAGCGGGCCATGTCGGCGGGGTCTTCAAAGTTGTCAAAGTAGCCGGTGTCTTCTTCGTTCTCGAGTTCGGGGATGAAGGGAGCCTTGAGTTCGCGCAGACGGCCGAGGTCGAGGCTGCGGAAGAAAGGGTGTGTTTGGACGGGCTCGAGGCTGCTGTAGCGGCGCTCGGGCGTGTCGACGAGCTTGGTGATGGCGTCCCAGGCGACGTCGCTGAGGTTGAACTGCATGTTTTCGGGCGTGTCGTAGACGGGCCGCTGGAGCACCTTTTGCCAGTTTTTGAGGTTGGCGAAGGTCTCGTCCGGATTGCTGCCGCTGAAGGGCGGGAAGCCGCAGAGGAACTCGTAGAGGATGCAGCCGAGGCTCCAGTAGTCGACGCCAAAGCTGTACTGGCGTCCGCGCAGCATCTCGGGCGCAATGTAGTCTGGGCTGCCTACGATCGAGTTGGCGCGGTGCTGGGTGTGCTGGATCATCTTTTTGTACATGGAACCGCGCTCGGCGGGCGTGCGGTAGACAAAGTCGGAGTCCTTGACCGCATCGAGCTTGGCCTTCATCGACTCGATCTTGCCCGGGTGGAGCGCGCCCGAGGCGAGGCCAAAGTCGGTGAGCTTGACGTGTCCGGTGGAGTCGACGAGGAAGTTTTCGGGCTTGAGGTCGCGGTGGATGTAGCCGAGGCGGTGGAGTTCGTTGACCGAGACGATCATTTCGGCCATGTAGAAGCGAGCGTACTCCTCCTTGAGCGCGCCGTTGTTGCAGAGGAGCGTGCGGAAGTCGCCGCCGGGCACGTACTCCATGGCGAGGAAGACGTGGTCTGGGTCCTGGAAGGCGTAGAGCAGACGGACGAGCCAAGGGGTCTTTGTGGCGGTGAGGATGTCGCGTTCGGTGAGCACGTGGCGCACCTCGTCCATCTTTACGAGGATGCGCTTCTTGAGACGCTTGAGCGCGCAGATTTCTCCCGTGTCGCGCTTGCGAGCCAAAAAGACCTCGCCGTAGCCACCTGCGCCGACCTGGGTGATGATGTGGAACTGGTTGACGCGCAGCTTGGTTCGCCTCTTGCGCAGGAGCACGCGCTCGCGACCAAAGTAGGAGGAGCGCTCCTTGAGGAACTCGGGCGATGGCTCCGCATCCTCGTCGTCGGGCAGCAGGCCGCGGGCGCGTGTGGATTCGTGGAAGCGCGTCAGGCGGGCCTTGCGATCGGCGAGGTAGCGAAGGTTGTCAAAGTAGTAGTTGAGGAAGTAGAGCTGCGCGACGTTTGCCTTGCGCTGTACCTCGGTGGAGCGAACGATCTCGGTCTCCCATGGCTGGAGACCGTCGCCTCGCCTCCAGCTCCTCCAGCTGCCCTTGGGGTCGGGCTGGGAGTCGGAGTTGTTCTCGTTGATGCGCGAGAGTTCGCTGTGTTTTGGCGGTTTGATGTGGTCGTTGATGAGTGATGGCTGCGAGGAGGTGTTTTCCTTCTTGGAGGTGGCGAGGGGCGAAGGCACCGAGGTGGTGGCGACGGCGCTTTGTACGGGCGCCATGGCTGGCTGCTATAGGGTGGCGGGATGGCAGTGGCAGAGGGTCAAGGCAGCGGCTGGAGAGTGCGAATGACGATGATGGTGATGGAGAGAGAGAGAAGGTAAACGAGGGTGAAAGCGAGACGGGGAGCGCGAGTGTCGCAAACGGAGGTGTGGCGAGTGGGGACGGTGACGAGAGAGTATGCAAGCAGGTCGGCCCAATGATCAACGATGCATGCCGAGGCAGGAGGCAAGCCGTGCCCGCAAAACTACATGTCGCAAAACCAACACACCAACACTGCCGAGCGTCCAAAGTGGCCCAAAGTGGAGTGCCGACTTGGGTACGAGATGTTGATTTGAGCGCCATCCGCTCTACGCACGCTCTCAACAACACAATTCGCCAAAGGGCGGCCCCACCAGCTCCTCCCACTCGGACCCACCCGGTCCAGTCGACCCCGCACAACCGCGGGACAGGACGGGCGCTTGTCTGCATGTGATGCTTTGATGCCTTGCTCAGGTGACGCTCAAGGACAGGCGGAACGAGTCCGAGTGAGCTCAGCGCCAAGCGGCAGTTCGACTTCTCCGAGGCCAAATCCCACAAATCACACGGTCAGAGGTGCGCGAGAGCTGCGGTCGATTGACGTCGGCGGTTGTTTGTTACTTTTCGGAGGCTGGAGCGACGCGGTCACGTGCGGAGGAGACGTTTGGATTTTCGTCGGAGGCAGCGCCCCACTCTGTCCCAGCAAAGACGCAAAGACGCGCGAGACGCGTTTGGCGGCAGTCAATCAACACTTTTTGGCCGCGCATGCCATCGGCAACTTCGACGCCCTCCTCCACCATCGCCACATTAACCAACGACGCAAAGATGGCCGCAGCCCCACGTCCATCCGTGCTTGCCACGCCACGCAGGCCATTCGGCTCGGTCGCACCCTCCAACGCCGAGATGCGCAAGGTGTACGCCGACCTGGACAACAACGCCGTGTTCGACTTTGCCAGCATCGTTTCGGCCGTCAAGACCTTCTCCACACGCTTCCGCGCCTACACCGAGAATGCCATCTCCAACATCAACGACGACAAGGCCGAATTCGACGCGAACCGCATGGAGCATCGCAACCAGCTCCGCACGCTCGAGCGCGAGATCGAAGACGCAAAGACATCCCAGGGCGAGCTGTGGGATACCATCGCGCGCGAACGAGACCAGGACGCAGACCTTCGATCGAGGCAGCAGACGCTCCAATCCCAGAAGGCATCCGTCGCCCAGCGATGCAACGAGCTCCACGCCGAGATCGCAGAACTCAAGCAGATCCTCGAAAAGAAGAAGCTCGCCAAGGAATCGCAACGCGAGAAGCTCAAGGAGCAGAGCGACAAGAATGCGCCCGAGCTGCGTCTCCTCGAGTCCAAGACGGGATGCTCCGTCGTACCCACAAAGGTGGGCGACCAGCTCAAGTTCACCTTCAACCTCATGAACGCAGACGACTGGTCGCACGAGTGCCACTTTACCATCGACGTCAGCAGCACAAAGTACAAACTCACCTCGGTGCAGCCCCGCCTCGATTCGACCTTGCAAGAATCGCTGCTGCACGAACTCAACTCGACGCGCAAGTTCTACACGTTCGTCAAGAAGATGCGCGCTGCGTTGCGTGCCCAGGTCGAAAAGCAGCGTCTCGAAGCACGCGACAAGGCACGAGGCGGAGGCCGTTGACGCTTCCCCTTTCCGCTCATGCTCCTCTTTCCGCAGCCATGCCCGCTTCGACTCGATACCACGCCGCCTGTATTTGTACCGTTACCCTTTTACCGATTTGCGCTGAATCTGACAATGCCTCGGGCGCGCCTATCGCACCCGCATGTTCGTACTTGGCGAGCCTCGATGCCTCCATGCTCAACTCTCAAAAGAGGGAGGGCCTAAGCCTCCACCACCCTTTTTTTCAGCCACGATTTCCAGTCCGATTTTTCCAGAGCGACTGATTTTGAGAAGGCGGACCCTGGCTGCTGCTGCCCAGCTCGGACTGACGTTTGCACCTGCCCTCCGCGCTCTGCATCACCTCTTCATCACCGCACGATACCCTCGCACATCCGCCCACTGCAGCACTACGGCTCGTCTGCGACGTCGAGCGCTAAGCACCATGGTCGCTCCACGCATGTCGCTCAAGTTCTTGGGCACATCGTCCATGCCCAACTCGACGCGCAACTACTCGTCGCTCCTCTTCAAGCTCGACAACCACACCGTCATGGTCGACTGCGGCGAGGGCACCCAGCGTCAGCTCCGCTCGCGCTACATCGGCGGCGAAGAGCGCTTGGCTAACCTCAAGACCATCCTCATCACCCATTTGCATGCCGACCATGTGCTCGGCCTCGTGCCCATGCTCATGTCCATCATGGGTCCAACTGGCGTGCCTGTCGCTCCCGATGCTTCTCCACGGGTCGAAATTTATGGTCCGCCAGGCCTGCGTGCGTTAATACGCACTACTCTATCGCTCTGCTTTGCGCAGCTCAGCGGCAAGTACGTCGTGCACGAGTTCGTATGGCCGTCGCCGAGCGAGCTGGCCCAAGGCGCGGCGTTTGCGTTGCACAACCAGCCCGAGCGCAGCATCCCCGACATGCCACAGCACGAAGGCGAGGCGAGCGGTGGCCGCGACCTGCACATGGACGCGAGATCATCGAGCTGGCCCAACTTCCTCTCCATCAAGCCCTCATCCCAGTCTCCGGGCGTACGGATCAGCGCCGCGCCCATCTCGCACCGCTGCCCCACACTCGCGTACGTATTCGAAGAAGACGCCAGGGCGGGACCTCTCGACCCAAGCATTGCCGAAGCTCTCAAATGCAACGGCCCCGCTTTGCAGGAACAGCGCGGCATTCGACATCCACTCTCGCTCCTCTCCACTCTCACAACGCAGCGACAATCCGTCCACCTCCCCGACGGCACCGTGCTTGATCCTCCCCCACTCACGTTTCCGGGCCGAAAAGTCACCATCATGGGCGACACCAGCGACGGTACGGGTGGTTTCACCCGCGATCAGCTGCGCGCAGGCTGCGGACTGCCCGCGCTCGCCCATGGCTCCGACGTGCTCGTGCACGAGAGCACCAACATCGCGCTGCCCGCCCACCTCAACAGGAACGGCAAGCCCGATTCTCTCGAGGACGTTGCAGCCAAGGCAAAGCTGCGCGGCCACTCTGTGCCTCAGGTCGCCGGCCAATTCGCTGCGCTCGTCAATGCGCGACGCCTCATCCTCAACCATTTCTCCACAAAGTTCCCCAGCCCGCCGCACTATCTTCTCGACACCGCCGGTACCAGTGCCGAATCGGCGGCGGCGCTGCCCGTGGAGGAGGACGGCAAGCAGTTGGGCGATCCGGAACGCCGCGCACGCATCATGAAGCAGTTCGAGCTGCAGGCCTTCCAGGCGTGGCATCAGAGCACCAAGACCGGTGCGCACCAGCTCGAGGTGTTTTCCGCCTTTGATGGCTTTCACTTTGAAGTCTCTCCGCGTGAAGAGATGAGCGCTTCCCAGCAAGAGCCCAGTCACGCATTCGCCAGACCGTGGGAACAGTCCCAGGGCGACGCGGTCGGCAACGGCCTGAAGCGCAAGCATCCCGAGGTGGTCGACGCCGAGAACGTGTGGGACCCGTCTCCGTTCCTGCTTTCGTCTGCCAGCACGCCGGTGCCTAGATACGCGCTGGTGTTGCTCAACTCGCCCATCGACGCGCGCCAGACGGGCCACTTTCGACGACTGTGGACGTCTGCCTCGCTACGCCTCTGCGCCGATGGTGCAGCCAACCGACTATTGGACGCGTTTGGACCTTTGGCCTTCGACGCCGATCTGCCACTACCGCATGCGATCCTGGGCGATTTGGACTCCATCCTGCCCTCGACGCAGCAATTCTTTGAATCGAAAGGCGTAGCGGTGCACAAGCGTCCGTCGCAATACGCGACCGACCTGCAAAAGACGATCCAACAAGTCGAGGATCACGAAGATTCTGGCGACGAACACACGCTGATCATCTACGGCGGGCTTGCGGGGCGGCTGGACCAGAGTGTGCATACGCTGCATGTGTTGTGGCAGCTTGCACCTGGTGCTGCTGATCTGGGCAGCGTCGTTGACCCCTCCGAACCCAACGATCGCGGCAATCGGCTGCGCAAGAGACGGCGCACATTTGCAATTGGCGACGGAAGTGTCGCTTGGCTGCTTCCCGCTGGCAAGCATACGCTGAAAATGGCGCGCGAGGTCATGGGCAAGACGTGCGGTGTGCTGCCGCTGGGTGTTGGCAATTCGGGGGCCAAAGTGACGACAAAGGGGCTCGAGTGGGATCTGCAGGGAGATCTGACGACTCTGGGCGGATTCTTATCCACGTCCAACCATGTGCATGACGAGCAAGGAGTGGTGCACGTAGAGACCGACGAGCCGGTGTACTGGACCGTCGAGTTACGGCCGGACGAGGCGAGCGGTCTATCCGCATGAGCAGCAAAATGATCACCCACAATGCAGCAATCTCGTTCGAAGCTGCCATGCCATGAGCTTGCTGTGCGCGACATGCGTGCGGGAGCGGTAGCGGGAGTTTGACGCTCGAGGCTGAGGCTGGCAAATGAATTCGTGTGTTAGACTCTTGTCGCTTCTCGCCTCGTCGCGAGCGGAGGGGCTCGCAAGAAGAACGCGAAGGCGCTATAGTCGCGGTTGAAAAGCAATTCAAATGCACTGAACCGCACGAATAGCAGGCGAGAGTCGACTCTGCGCGTCCAAATTGAATCGTTTGTGCGCCGCGCACAAGCGAAGTGAGAAAGGCAGAGGTGCATGCGTGCGGACGTGCGTGCGTGAGTGCGTCGAGTCGAGTCGAGTCGAGTCGAGCGCTGGCAAGCGCCGCACCAGCTCAGCAGCCGCGCTTCCAAAAGAGGGTGCTCGTGCGCAACACTCAGACATGCCCAGCGAGAGCAGCCGCTGAGAAGCACTCGCTCGCTCAACCCTTTCGACCACCGCCGCCCGCGCATTCCACCATCATCCTTCGACGACTCTTCGAGCGCCAGCTTACGACTCCGACTTCCTCTTTCCATCACTCGAGTCCTCTTTGAACTACCGCCTGGAGCGAGACCCCACGAAGACACCGCCAGCGCGCACACAACCTTTGCCCACCATTTCGTCCGTCATCAACGCCAGCATGGCTTCGCGCCGTCGCGCTGCCAAGAAGGGTGTCTCCTTCTGCCTCATGGTCGTCGGCGCGTCCGGCACGGGCAAGACCACCTTCGTAAACACCCTCTGCGACTCGGAGGCCATCGGTCACAAGGTCAGCGACAACCCCGAAACTGCCCACATCGAGGAGGGCATCCGCATCAAGCCCGTCAACGTCGAACTCGAAGAGGACGGCACCCGCATCGGCCTCACCATCGTAGACACCCCGGGCTTCGGCGACAACATTGACAACGAATATGCGTGAGTGTCCCTGCCCTTCGGCCACCTTGCACATGGCCCCACCACTGACACTTCTGCTTCGTCTCGCTTTTGGCTCCCTGCCTTCCCACAGCTTCTCCGAAATCGTCGGCTTCCTCGAGCGACAGTACGACGACATTCTCGCCGAGGAGTCGCGAATCAAGCGTAACCCGCGCTTCCGCGACAACCGTGTGCACGCCCTCCTCTACTTCATCACGCCCACCGGCCACTCGTTGCGCGAGATCGACATTGAGCTCATGCGCAGGCTCTCGCCGCGCGTCAACGTCATCCCCGTCATTGGCAAGGCCGACTCCATGACGCTCACCGAGAGGCAAGACTTCAAGAAGCGCATCATGGAGGACATTGAGCACTACGGCATCCCCGTCTACAACTTCCCCTACGACGTCGAGGAGGACGACGAGGAGACCATCGCAGACAACTCGGAGCTGCGCGGTCTCATGCCCTTTGCCATCGTCGGCTCCGAGGAGGACGTGTTGGTGAACGGCGAGCCCGTGCGTGCGCGCAAATACCCATGGGGCCTCGTCGAGGTCGACAACCCCAAGCACTCGGACTTTGCACGTCTCCGATCCGCGCTGCTCATCACACATCTCAACGACCTCAAGGAGATCACGCACGACTTCCTCTACGAAAACTACCGAACCGAGAAGCTCTCCAGAACCGTCCACTCCGACTACGCCGACACGTCGATCCCCGGCGAGGAGCTCGCCAACCAGTCCGTCAGGCTCAAGGAGGAGCAGCTCAAGCGCGAGGAGGACAAGCTCAAGGAGATCGAGCTGCGCGTACAGCGCGAGATCCAGGAAAAGCGCCAGGAACTCCTGGCAAAGGAGGAGAGCCTCAGGAACCTCGAGTCGCGTCTCCAGGCGCAGAACATCGCCGAGTAGCGTCGTCCATCGCCTCGCGCTCGCCTTGCGTCACTTTCACAGGTCCGAGTGTGCGCCAATCCCATTTGCTTTGTTGTGTTCATGTGTCTCAGTCGTGTGAAGCCGTTCAAAGTACAAATGGAGCGGCGCGTTGAAGAAGTTGGCATTGCGAGCAAAGAGAGCTTTTGAGCGAGCTCGGATGGATTACTCGAGGCCGCGCGCCTGTCTCCAGGCATTGATCCACGCGATGATTCGGTCTACGTTTTCCTCTACGTCGCCCGACTCCTGGCTTGTGAGTTCGACCACCGCCTCGGCCGGGTACGAGTTGCGAGCGTCGTCGGCGACCACACCCATAATCTCGGCCTGATTGTTCTCCTGGATCTTGTTGAGTGGATAACCCCTGTGCGTGCGTCATGACCGATGCGAGAGTGTTAGTACGGAGATCCTTCGAAGCTGCTTGCATGGCTTACTTACCTCTTTTCGAGTCGGTCCCAGAGCACCGTATGGTCGCAGCGCAGCACCACGACGATGTCGACCCATCTCTCGGGCCACACATCGCACGTGTGCCAGTCCAGCACCAACCCGCCCCTCTCTTCATCCTCTTCGCTCTGCTGCTTGGCTTGGTTCGTTTCCATCTCGTCGTAGTCTTCCGATTCCGTGGGCTCGGGTGCTTTCGTCCCGGTAAGCGGTTCGAGGTGATCCAAAAGCTGGTCTTCGTTCACCTCGTAGCTCTGCCACTCTTCCAAAAACTCCGTGTAGAAGCCTTCGGCCTTGACCACCGCTCCGACGTCGATCTGGCGTAGCGGATGCGATGAGGAGCCCGAGGGCGAGTAGGTGGAGGCGAGCAGAGAGCTGTGCGTCGACTTGCCCGTTCCGGGCGTGCCCGTGATCACGATATTCGGAAAGCTTCGAACCATGATGTCGTCAATGTGTTGATCGGTCGTCGAGGAGAATGGAAGGGGTCGAGCGGACGTGAGAGATCAAGGTTGCGGATCAAGCTCAACAGCACTTCTTCCTGCGAGAGGATATGCGGGTGCGGCCCAAAAAGTTTTGGACCCGCACTTCTGTGTGGAGAAGCGCGAAATTGCGGGTGGTATGAGACCTAACAATTTCAGACAAAATCATCCGTCGCCAAGGAGCGCGAGTGACACCCGAAACCTCCTGCCAACGAGCGACCCACCGTTTCCACAGAAGTAGCCCTCGAACTTCAGATCCGCAACTTGAAGGGGGCATGTCGAACCGAGTCGAATCGAGAGCGATGTTGCTGGGAGCCAGATACGAGCCTCGTCGTCTCATACAAGAACGCTGTTGTATCCAGGACGTGCAGTAGGACCTCAATATGTCTTTTAGCCGCAGCACCAGTCTCAAGAAGTTCAATCAATTCGGATTCATCGTGCGTCAGCTGAGAGAGTACATGTCGGTCAGTCTCGATGCTCCCTTCGACGAGGCTCAGCTCCATCGCGAATTAGTCAGAAGTGTTTGAGGAGCGCCTGGAGGATCTGCCAGCCCGGCCAGGAAGTGGCGTGCCTCGATGCTTCTCCGAGATGACGCCGAACACGCTCGTGAATCCACTGCCGCGGAAGTTCAGGAGTCGCCACATAGAATTGCAGAGGCCGTCCTTGAGCACGCACAGAGCCATCTCACTTGCGTCCGGACCGGCCAAGTTAGTGTGGATGTGCGCTGTGTAGTTGTCGAAGAAGTCGCGATAGACTTCCGTGACCGCTTGACGGAACTGCGCGTCCGACAGAAGCGGCTGGCGTCCCTCGTAAAAACTCTCCGGATGGCGTTCATCCGGCTCTGGGCTGCCGCTTTCCTCGTCCGAGTTTCTCGAGCGCTTTGAGGTTCGAGCGTTGTCGGTGCTGCAGGCGACTCCCTTCCTTGGAGTTTGAGTCGGAGGGCCCGTGGAAGCGCTTCCGTTGGGACCGTCGTCTTGCTGGGAGAATTGCGGGCCCCGCTGGTGCTTTTGAAGCGCCCTCACACGCCAGGGCAAGTCGGGAAGAGGAGGGGTCTGAATACGAGGAGACAGAGGCTGATGGGCATGGGATGAGGATGGAGAAGCAGCCTCCGAGGCTGTGGGCTGGCTGTCACCTTGAGTCTCCTGCATGGGCTGGGTGTCAACGGGAGGCAGTCCGAACAGGGCGGCAACATCTTCCACGGACATCTTGGTGTGGAACAAGAAGGTATTAAGCCCGGCCGAGACTTTGCTTGCTCTTTGCCTATTGTTCAAGGCCTGTGGCACGGTAGTCGGACCGAGGGTATCGCCGAGTTCCTTGCCCTCGGCGAGAAGTCTGGGACGCTCTGAAAAGTGCCCGAGAATTGTGTGGGCGAGGACCAGGACTGTAACGCAAGTTCGTAGTCGTTCTTCGTGCTTCGAGATCTTCTTGCATGCCTTGTATTGGTAGGCGATCGTTTCGAGTGGTTTGGTGAAGTCGCTGATCATGGTGTTGGAGAGCGCGACAAGCTCATCGCCCACCTCCTTGTCGAGGGTCTTGGATCCACACATCTCGATGATGTCGGCAGACGAGGGCAAGGTGGTGTGCTTGTTAGCGTTGATGGTGATGGTTCTGCCGTCGGCAGACGTCCACTGCACCGGCATTGTGCTTGGGGGGCCGTTTTCGAAGGCTTCAAGCAGAGAGATAGTGATTAGAAGAACAAGCGACCGCGGGAGGCGGGCTCTTTTTAAGGCAGCTGAGAGGCGGTCTACGCAGCTCGGCGGTCAACACAGCTTCTCCCGGACAGCTCTGGGCATTTCAGCAGAGGATTCTCTCGGCTGCGCCCAAATGAAGAGCCAAAAAGCGATCCAGCAGACGGCGCAAGGACGTTGCGCCTCGCTCGGGCGGTACATGGCATGGATTGCGCAGCATCCTTGTCGTGCCGACTGCCAAGCCTTGGAAAGGGTCTGCGCTGCGCTCAAGCGGAGGACCATTGAAAGAGTGTGGGACGTCTCGTAGACCGCGCAGCCGCGCGATGCTGCGCAATGTTTGAGACAGATTTCCTGCGCCGCACCCAAGCGACAGAGCAAGAGACGCATCGTGGCCGCGCCGAGAGGGTTCTCTGCAAAGCGCACAGAAGGCGCTGCCAGCGAGACGAAAAAGAAGGCCCGCGGCGGGGCCTGATGGGGCGAGCTCATCTCAATTCGTGACATTGACGGCAATGGCCGCACGTACTTAGTCTAATTCCTTGCTTTCCTCTCAAAATCAAGCTCAGCGGTAACTTCATGAAGTCAGAAGCAAATTGACTTCAGTCACTCTACTCTCCGCCCTGCGTCGGACAGAGCAGGCCTGACGTCGAGCGGTTGCGGATCGATTGCTGATTGGGCCATAGATCTTCGATGCCATAGTGTGTCCGTTGGCCCAAGACCGGCCGCAGGATGTGAGACCGCGGAGGTCGCGGCGGTGAGAGTGTCACTTGACGACGTTTGTAGACAGAGACAAATAGCGCATCTTGTTAGACCATGCGAGTGACAATACGGGCGGTTCTCCGCTTTCTGCACACCCACGTCGCGCGGGTCCAAAAGCGTCGGCTGTGTGTCTGAAAAGTGTCGAGTTAACCGATCAGGGGGCCGTAAGCGCTCCGTCCCCCCTCAAGAGTAGATGTCTCGTAGCTGGCGAATAATCTCAGCGATCTCAAATTTGTGTCTCTCATCCCATCGTGTGCGGTGAGGCAAGTGATGGAGAGCACATTCAATTGACAGACAGCTGAAGTAAACACTGGATTTTCGACATGCCGGAGGAGAGAGAGGGGACTGGATTGTTGATGGGAGTATGCGCAGGAGATGCATCAATCGGTGAGCTTGGCGCTGGGGCCGGCGAAGCGCAGGAGGCCATCGTCGGCAGCGGCCTGCGAATCAAACTAGTAAATCTGTTCGTCCTGCTTGAAGCGGCCGTAGACGAGCTCGCCCGAGCGTCAGACGACGGGCAGACGGTGGCACTCGGCCAGGTGGGCGAGGACGGCAGCGAACCCTTTCTTGGGTCGCCTGCATTACGGCATGATGCATTCGTACGTCTTGGAATGCATCAGTCGCCACTCGGACCTCTTGCTGCCGCCGGGCTCGGCCACCGACGAGGCCGAGCGAGCCTAGCGGCGGACCGTCTCGAGCTACGCCACGTTCATGAACGGCATCCGACGTCGACGCTGTCAGAGCAGGAGTACCTCCTTCATCTGCATCAGGCTAAGGTGCTTGTAGACTAGGCCCTGGCACGTGCCGCCGCTACTGCACCAAAAGGACGCCAAGCACGTCGAGCAGAGTCCAGAGGCCTGCTTCATCACTTGTCCGCGGGACCTTGGCCGCCTGGAAGATGACCTTCAACGAAAGCACCTTCTTGTTCCCAGCGCAGAGCTCGTTCATCGACGTGTTGCGTGCGTCGGCAACCCGCACATGGACGCAAAGCACTGTGTTCATTCTCGTCGGTCATTCGCCCTCAACGGACGATGAAGCTTTCCGAAAATATGCACGCTCGGCCGACTTGATCTCCCGTCTCTCTTTCTCAAGACCTTGCGGCCGACGGCTCTTCCTCGCGGAGCCGCTGAAATCTGCTCACGGAATGCTATGCCCGCCTTCAACTCGGAAGGCTCCGTGGCGACGGTCCTGTCAAACTTCCAAGCTTCCAAAACAATGATGCATTGCGACAGATGCTACGCTACGAACAAAGACCTTGTCGTGTCGCGCTCAGAGACGGGCACCCTGGCCAGTGAGGAGCTGGTTGCCGTTCCTGAGCACGGCGACGGCCTCGTTGACCATGTCGTCGACGATTTCCTTGGCGGGCTTGATGTCGTCGATGACCGACGCGCACTTGCCGAGGAGGAAGCGCTGGCGGGCCTGTGCCTCCTTCGAGCCCTCCTCGTCGTCGTTCTCGAGGTCGTGGTAGACGGGAATGATGCCCTTGTCTGTGAGCTTCTTGATCTCGTCCGGGCGCGACTCCCAGTCCAGGATGTAGGGCGTCTTGAAGAGACGCAGCGGGCGGCCGGTGAAGATGATGGTGCGGATGTCGGTTTCGTGCGTCGACTTGAGAACGGCCTCCTTGTGCGCCTTGGGAGCGCCGGACTCCTTCGAGGCAACGAATCGGGTGCCGACCCAGACACCGTCGGCGCCGTAGCAGAGCGAGGCGGCGAGACCGCGGCCGTTGAAGATACCACCAGCAGCCACCGTGATGATGGGCTTGCCGGTCAGCGGGCTCTTGCGGCCACGGCAGATGTCGACGACACGAGGAGCAATGATGGAGAGAGGAACGTCACCAGTGTGTCCACCGCCCTCGCCACCCTGGAAGATGACCATGTCAACACCTGCCTCGAGGACCTTGGGTGCGTGCTTGGGGTGGCCAATGATACCGGCCACGATGATCTTGGCGTCGTGCAGCTTCTTGACGACCTCGACGGGAGGCACACCGACGGCGGACACGAAGAGCTTGGCGCCCGACTCAATGATAATGTCGATGAGCTCGGGGAGCTGGCCGTTGGTGTAGTCGGTGTTGGTCTTTCGTGCGCCACCGCCGACCTTGGGCAGGAGAAGATCGACGCCGAAGGGAGCGTTCTTGTCGGTCAGGTGGCTCTTGAGCTCGTCCACCTGTTGGCGGAGGAATTTGGGCGTATAGCCGACTCCACCGATCACACCGATACCACCCGCATTGCTGACGGCGGCAGCGAGCTCGGGGCCGGCAGCGACGTTCCTGTGAAGACAATTGATGCAAAGGAATGAAAAAGTGTCAGAGAATATTGCATGGTGGCGACGAGGTGGGGCGACGCGTCACTTACATGCCGGCGAGCATGATCGGGTGCTTGAGGCCGAAAGCCTCGGTAAGAGGGGTCTTGATCTGCTGTGGGGAAGCCATTTTTGGATGATGAAGAGATATCTGTCGACAAACAAAGGTATCGTGGAAGAAGGATGGAGAGGGGGGACGGGAGCCAGTGGCGCGTAAGTTGGAGCCAAAATGAATGCGGGGTAAGCGGCTGCCAGCTCAAGGCGGAATCGGGCTGCGCGGTTGGCCCAAGGGTCTACAGACTCAGCTTGAGGTTGCCACCAGTGGAAGCTTAGCTGTCCAAGCTGAGCTGCGCTGCTTCCAAGGTGCGAGCGAGGCGGGTGCTGTGTGGGCTGTCTGTGTGTCACTTTCGCCTGCTGTAAGCGCGCTTGGTCGGCAAAGCCTTTCCGCCACTTACCGGAAGCCGTCTAGCCGGTCTACCGGCGCAGCGGCAGGCTGAATGCGAAGAATCCTCCGAAAATTGCTCGAACGCGGCCTTTCCCGCACGATAGCAATTTGATGCAGGTGCGGAAGCTGAAGGCGGAAGCGGACCCTGAGCCTCCACAAGGTCAGTGTTCCGCTATTGCCAAGGGATCGGGTCCAGAAGAGTCAAATCTTCAGCCTCATTCCTCCATCCTCACCACTACACTTCGGCACGACACCGCTCTCGGTGAAGCTCACCGGTGTCATGTCATCGAGAGCAGAAGCGGCTGCGGCAGAAGCAGCGGCTCTGATCGAGGCAAGCTTCGTCGGCCGCACCAGCATCGTCCACATCCCCGACGGCCGTGCTTTTTGCGGCACCTTCCTATGCGTCGACTCGGGCAGCAACATCATTCTATCCGACACCGATGAGCTCAGGCTCACATCATCGGGAGGCACTTCCTCGCGCAATGTGGGCATGGTCATGATTCCGGGCAACTGCGTCGTCAAGATCGAGGTTCAGCGCGAACTTCCGCAACACGCAGCTCCAACGTCCGAGCCGGCACCTTTGTCGGGCTCCATGGCTCAAGCAGGATGGCCCGATGACGACTCGATGTACGCTTGACGACTATGCACTAGTGATCTAGCACAAAGACTCCATCGACTACCCCGGAACACCGGTCAAACAGCCGGGTCGCGAGCGAATCGAGCTGGACCACCTGGTCATCGCCGTCGTTTTCAGCTGTGAACTCAAGCACTGGCTTGAGCAGAGCCAGCAGCGGCTCAAGTAAGTCGTATCGCGTCGCCTGCACGGCATTCTCCGTGTCGATTGCCAGCACGACCCGCAAGCACAAGCCGAAAACCGTGTCGATGCCGGACGCAAATCGCTCGGCCTCGCCGTCAGGAGCAACCTCCCTGCTGTATCTGAGCTCTCGCCCAAGCTTGTCAACGATGGCGGCGGCCATCTCACCTGCCGTGTTGAAGGAGAACGTGCTGCCGCGCGCCAGCAACCGCTCGAGGATTCCAGCAACAATCTTGAACTCGTCCTCGCGGCTATGCCAAAGGACATCAGTCAAGAGCTGTGCGAAACGAAGACTGAGCGGTGCTTCATCTGTCGCTTCCTCGTTCCAGTCGATCTCTGCAAGGGCGTCGACGCATATCCCCAGGATTGCCAGCACTGTCGGCCGCGCTTCTCCCAGCGGCGATGCCGATGCCGAGGCTGCTTCGAAGCTCTCTACAAGCCTGCCTGCGACGCTCTTCACTGCTCCACGGACATCCTCGCCGGCATGAAGCGCAGCGATCATGTCCAGCAACTTGCACGTCCAATCGCAAGGGCCTCCCCAAAACCACACATCGCCGACAAGCTCTCTGTCTAGCGAGTACCGCTCGTCTTCTGTCGCAACCTCCAGCCAACGGCGCGCGGCGTCGACCGTATGGCATGCATCGATGGAGGGCGCGGCTTGATTGACGCATGCAAGAAGATCAGCACCAGCTGTCTTTCACCCTGTCACTGCGTGCCAAACTCACCGTCTCGCCACTGCGCGACGAGCACGAAAAAGGCCCGATAAACGTCCAGCGAAAAAGGCAGCGGTTCGCAAGGGAAGGAACCGAGCGAAAGGAGGAAGCAAGACACCTCTTTGCCTAGCACTTCCCTTTGCTCCAGTGTCTGAACCTCGACGCCGTCTCTCTCTCCCAGCACGATCTGCAGCATGCAGCATCGGTCAATCAGTTCGTCTTCCTAATCTTCGCAATGCTCAACAAGCGCGACTGGAAAAAGCTCTCACCACTGCGGCTCGGACGAGCTGATCTGCCATCATGACTTCGGCTCGAAGGATATGGACAGCACATTGGAGCAGTGCCGTGAGCTTGCTGCAATATATGTATCCGACTGAAGAGCCCTTCTTGGTGCAAGACAGCGCATGTGCGTCTCGTAGAGCGATATCTCGACATCGAGTGCCGCCGCATCGGTCGACCCGTGTGTTGCGGTGTCGGAATCTCGTCGGAGCAGCCGGAGACGATTGCGGTCGGGAGCGCGCGGATCCTGGATCGGCATATCCGACCAAACGGGACGCATCGATACCACGGTCGCAGGCTCCACGAATTCCCGCGAAAAATGCCGAGTCACCCGGCTGCTGAGAAGTTCGGTGGTCAACGCGGCCAACGCAGCCTCGGCTACCTCCGGGTGTGTACTTCCGCAGGGGCCACCTACACCATTCCGCAACACCTGGAGCGGGCCAACACTCCCGCACACATCTTTAGCTCGCACCACCAACACTCGCGCATCGTCATTGCGAGAGTCAGCTGTTCTCAAACCATGGTGAGCGCAACGATGTCAACGAGCGACGAAGTGATCCTGTGCTGCGTGCAGGACACGCCCGTGTCTTTCGACTTGCAGGCTTCGCTCGACAAGCTGTCCAAGCTGGCACGCGAGGCGACCACCAAGGCGCGGGCGCTCGCATCATCGCCCTCGGTGCCCATCGTAGTGCTCTTCCCCGAGGCGTTCCTGAGTGCCTATCCGCGTGGGCTCGACTTTGGCGCCAAGATCGGCTCGCGCACACCGGAAGGCCGCACATGGTTCGGGCGGTACCACGCGTCTTCAGTGCCGGTATGCGACACCGAAGGCCCGGAGATGCGCGCAATTCGCAACGTCGCCAAAGAGAACGGCATCACGCTCGTCGTGGGCGTGATCGAGCGCTGTGATCGTCCCGAGACGGGAAAGAAGCGCGCCGAGTACGGAAGCAGGGTCGTCGGCGGCACCGGGTCCATCTACTGCACCGCACTGACGATCTCCGAGACGGGCGAGGTGCTTGCATCGCACCGCAAGCTCATGCCGACAGGAACAGAGCGTCTCGTGTGGGGTCAAGGAGATGGACAAGGTATCAGGGTCGTACCTACTCCTGCTGGCAACGTTGGAGCCGTAATCTGCTGGGAGGTAAGTACACCGGACCCAGAGAAAGCCATACAATTGCAGAAGCTCACGATTTGCCCTCTCTCCGCATTGCCTGTTCGGACATGCAGAACTACATGCCGTTGCTGCGAACGGCCATGTACGAGCGCGGCGTTGAAATCTACTGCGCACCGACGGCGGACAGCCGACCGACGTGGACGTCGAGTATGCAGCACATCGCCATGGAGGGCCGTTGCTACGTCGTCTCGTGCAACCAGTTCAACACGCGCTCCGACTTTCCTCAGGACTACCCGGCGCTGCACGACCTCAAGCCGGACGGCATTGTGACGCGCGGCGGAAGCGTGATCGTCGGCCCCCTGGGAGACATTCTCGCGGGCCCGCTGGTGGACGAGGCGGGCATCCTGGTGGCCAAGGTCAGCAAGAGTGCGTTGGTCGAGTCCAAGATGGACTTTGACGTTGCCGGACACTATGCGCGCAACGATGTGCTGCGATTGCACGTCAACGACGACTAGAGCAACTGCACCTGTTGAGCAAACTGTTGCCCGATGTCTCTGTAAAATAGGAGTCCAACGCCAATGGTGTTCCTTAATGAATGCACCGAGGGTGGCATAGTCAACGCCGGCCAAGTGGGAGGCAACAGCTGTGAGCGGACTTGACGACCTTCCAGAAGCTTTTACGACCGGAGCAGCCAAAGCCACATGCAGGAGCAAAAAGGGCGGACCGTTATGCTCGTTGCACGTGGTGCTGAGCCTTGGCTTACGACATTGCATCCGCGGCTTGCTGCTTGGCAAGTGTGGTGGCCCCGCAGCCTGGATTTTCCGCCGCCAGGGTCCGCGGAATTTCATCAGGGGCGGGCGCTCGGGTTTCCACTCTTCCTCGGCCAGTCCTCTAAACAACGACGACGTAAAGCCCGAGGAGCTGCGCGTATTCTTGTGCAGGTTGGTATGGCAACAGAAGCTTGCTGCCAGGTTCGCTCGTTGTTGTCAGTCACGGCATGGTCATATGAAAGCAAAGCGCAAGAGGGCAAGGTAGCGGCGCTTGCATTAAGCTCGGAATTCGGCGTGAGAGGTCGAGTTCCTGATCCAGAGGGACGCATCGGCAGCGCGCGGATGGGCTCGGCACCTTAGCTAAAAAGAGAAAGGACGAAAGCAGCTGCAGCTGGCTGCATGATCTTCGCATGACATCCGATGTTCGCAGGCGGTGTTTTTAGTTTGCGCAAACCCCAACTGCCCTTCGAGACTTGTCTAGCCCTGAGTCGACCGGCCATTCTTGGGCCGCTTGCTACGAAAGCAGATGGACAAGCCCGAGCGTAAAATAGTTCGATAGTCACGCCATGGCTGCTCGCTCGACATGACCGAGTGTGCCGAAGCAGGGTCTCGCTCCGCTCAGCAGGGTTCCGCCCTGGCAAACCCAGCGACCGGCGCCGCCTCCGAGTTCCGCTCGTGAGTGTGTTCGCCAAGACAAAAAAGATATGGTGAGCAGCCGCTGCGTGACGCTTGTGTGCTCCTGCGGCCGGCCGGACGGCAAGCACTGCCCCTGCAACCACCAACCCTGTATTCCGCCAGCCACCTTCAGGCACGGCACCAGCGCCCTCCGCAGCCAACTTGCCTCGGAACCTTCCGATGCCTCTGGATGCGCGTTGCGTCTCGACCGCCTCCTCCAGTCTTGCCTAGCCTAGCCTTGTCCGCCCCCCTTCCTCGCTTCACCCCGGTCCGACCAGCACATGGACATCTCCCACGCCTTATAAGACCATCCGGCGCTTGACCGTTTCGGCATCTCTCCGAGCCTTGCCTTTGTTCTCACGATTCCCGGCATATCGTCGTCACAAGGCGAGAATAACGGCGGCATGACCACATCGGCACAGCCGTCTCACGCGCCCAGCGGCCAATCTTCGGCAGCGATCGCAACGCCGCGCAAGGATGAGCGCGAGTCGTCGTTAGCCTCGGATGTCTCGCTCCAACGCACGCGTTCGTCGGATGCGCCGAGCCTGTCGTCCTCTGCCATCCGATGGAATCAGTTCGGCGCGCTGACAAGGAAGAACTGGATCGTCTTACGCTCGTATTGGCTGGTCAACCTGCTGCGATGCCTCATCATCCCCATCGCCTACTACGTCTTCCTCGGCGAGGCCAAGAACTTCTTCAACACCACCAACGATCTCGGCCTCGGACAGCCCGTGCCGGTGCGTCGTCTTTCGGACGGCCTCCGGAACCCCATCTACTGGCTCGATTCGCGCACCCAGACCGCCGACTCGCGCTTCTCCGCCCAGCAGGTTATCGATGTCGTGCTCGACTCGTTGCGGCCAGAACAACGCTCGCTCGTCAGGCGCGTCGACAGCGACTCGGACCTCGGTCTGGCGTGTCCGCAGGCATTCAACGGCCTCAGCTCCTGCTTTGGCGCCGTCGAATTCTCCAACATCTCCGCCCAGGGCAGCGTCGCCTACACTTTGCGTCTCGACCCGGGCCTCAACCGCGTCAAGGTGAGCACCAACAGCGGCGATGCCGAGAGGCGCACCCTACCGCTCCAATTCGCCATCGACGCCGCCATCCTCCAGCTCAACGGCGCACCCGCCTCAGCCTACGCACAGCCGCCGCTCGAACAGCCGTATTCGCAGCAGACTAACGCACAACAGGCAGAGAGCCAACGCAGAGGCTTCCTCGGCGGCGTCGGTCAGCTCACCGTGCTCGCCTTCTTCATCGGCATGCTTGGCGTCGTCTGGCATCTGCCTTCGTCCGTCTCTGAGGAGAGGGGCTCCGGCATGACCGCCCTGCTCACCACAATGGGCTGCGGCCAGCTTCCGCGTCTTCTCTCTTGGCTTTGCGGACCCGGTGCCTCTTACCTCCCGGCCTGGTTCGTCATGGGCGGAACACTCTCGGCGACGCTCTGGACGACGAGCAACAAGGCTCTCTGTATTTTTGCCCACGTCCTCCCCGGCCTTGCCATGGCAAGCTGGTCGCTTTTCGTCGCCACCTTCTTTGCGCGTGCCAACGTCTCGAGTATTATCACCACCGCTCTCGCCATCCTCTTCGCCATCGTAGCGCTCATCACCAAGCACATTGGCGAGGGAGGCGGCATCGTCATCGGCCTCCTCTTCCCTTCCGCCTCGTTCGTGTACGAATTCATCGCCATCTCGGCCTATGAGCACGAAGGTCTGCCAGCCGACGTCACTGCATCGCGCGACGGCATCAACAAGGGTCCCTCGATCCTTGGTCAGATCATCGTTCAGGTCATCGGCATCTTCCTCTTCCCCGCTCTCACCATCTTGCTTGAACGCAAGCTCTTCTTCTCTGAGCCCTTCTTCCAGTGGCTCTTCCGACGTCATCGATCTCAACCGTCCGTCCCGCACCAGAACGGCTCCGACCTGTCCGAAAAAGGCACGTCGACAAGCAGTGCCACACCGGCGCTCAAGATCACGGACCTTACCAAGAAGTATGGCAAAAAGGATAGCAGCCTCGCCGTCGACGGCCTTGACCTTGAAGTCGCACGTGGAAGCATCACGTGCCTGTTGGGATCCAACGGATCAGGCAAGTCGACGACGATTGGCATCGTTGGTGGCAACATCAGAAAGACGTCCGGCGAAGTCTACATCGACGGATACGAGCGTGGAGCCGCTCCGCCTGGCGTCATTGGTGTCTGCCCCCAGAAGGACGTCCTGTACAACCAGCTCACCTGCTTGCAGCACGTCGAGCTCTTCCGCGCCATCAAGCACCGCCGCGGCTCTAAAGACGACCCCGAAGACCTGCTCACGCGATGCGAGCTTGCACACAAGCTCAAGAGCAAGCCCTTCGAGCTCTCGGGCGGTCAAAAGCGCCGATTGCAGACCGCCGCCGCGCTCGTGGGTCAATCGACCTTCCTGATGTTCGACGAGGCCACGTCAGGCCTCGACCCGCTTTCACGCCGTGCGATCTGGAAGATCCTGCTCAACGAACGAGGCAAGCGCTCCATTCTGCTCACCAGCCACTTCCTCGACGAGGCGGACCTGCTGGGTGACCACATCGTCATCCTCGCGGCTCCGGGCAAAAAGCTCTGCGAAGGAACGCCCATCGAGCTCAAGACCTCCTACGGCCAGGGAACCACCATCCACGTTTCGCCAAGGGGCCGCCAAGTACTCCCGCTGCTCGACGAGGTGGCTCCTGGCACCAGACCCATTGCGTCGATCGAACCTGAACAGGACTCGTTCTTGCTCCCTTCAACAGACCAGGCTCTTGTGGCCAAGGTCCTGGAAGCTATTGAATCGCGCAAGGAGGCGCTGGGCGTAGAAGGATACGATGTGGCCGGACCGTCGCTCGAGAGTGTCTTCCTGACGCTCAACTCTGAGCATGCACGCCTCAACGGACGCCAGGAAGAGGTCGACGAGATGGAAGGCAACGTCGGCCACTGGAGCCGCGTCGATGCCGGCGCTCAATCCGGACTGTCCGACGGCTCGGTCTCGAGCATTCTGACTTTGACCTTGGCGCAGTTTTCGAAGCGCATGGTGCTTTACCGTCGAATCTACCTGCCGGCCATCTTTGCGATCCTCGTTGCAGTCCTCGGCTCAATCGTGCCCCTCGCCTTCTTCTCGGACCGCGATCCATCGTGCACGCGAGGCTTTGCGGATCGTGAATTGAGCTTCCGTGCAACGTTTTGGGGCAACGCATCGGCAGCTACCGAGTTGCTCTACGCCGCGCCCGAGGCGAACGCGCAAACAGTCTTTGGCAACGGCTTCGACCTCGAATCGATCGCGTTCGATCGCGTGCCGATCGAACAATACAATGCGACCATCGCGCGCCTGTGGAACGAGAACCAGCGTGGACTTGGCGGGATCGCGCTGCCGGGAACTGCCGGTGCCGTCAACCAGTTCTCGTATCTCGCCGACGAAGGCCCGGAAACGCCCATCGCCGCACTCAATCTTGTCAGCAACGCCGGCCTTGCGAGTGTTCGAAGCACCACCAACAGCGCCGATGGCTCGCCCACCATCACATCTTCATACCGCCCGCTCAGCAATCTGAGCCTGGGCAATGGACTGGGCTCCTCGCTCAAGTGGGCTGTAGTGTTTGGCTTGGTGCAGGCGGTGTGGCCCGCGTTCGCGGCGCTGTATCCGTCTGCAGAACGCAACAATCGCGTCAAAGCAATGGCTCTCACCAACGGCATGCGCGCTATCCCGCTCTGGCTTGGCCATTTACTGGCTGAACTGCCGGTCATCATCATCAGCACGGTGCCCGTGGCGTTGGTGTACGCGTTTGCATCATCCCAATTTGCGGGCGAGGGCGTCTTTTGGGTCGTGCTCTTCCTGCACGGCGTCTCGTCGACGCTGCAGAGCTTTGTTGTGTCGCTGTACGCGCCCAACCAACTGGCAGCATTCGCCATTGTTGCGGCGTGGAACGTGCTCGCGTTCCTCATCTACTTTGCGACGACTATGCTGACGGTGACCTACTACGTGGGCAACGGGCTGGCAGGCGCTCTGGATGCAGCCTACTATGTCGAGGCGATTCTTGCTCCGAGCGTCAGTATGACTCGGGCAGGCTTCGTATCGGTCAACCTGTTCAACCTGTTGTGCAACGGGCGCGGCGGGTACAAGAGCGGCGGTATTGGAGCCATCGACTTGCTCGGCGCACCAATCGTGTACACCATCGCCTGGGCGCTGGTGTGCTTCGCCATCCTGATCGCGCACGATTCGGGAGTATCGCTCTGGCCATCGTGGCTTGGCTTTGCGCGTCGCTCTCGCCGCGGCAAGAGGAACGTGCACGAAGAAGGCAAGGTTCAGCCGACGGGCCAGGGCGTGCGCGAGGAGGCTCTGCGTCTGGACTCGCCCGAATGCGATGATGTGCTGCAGGCCAAGCACCTCGACAAGTCGTACGGAAAGCTGCTCGCCGTCGACGACGTGTCGATCGGCGTGCGACGTGAGGAGACCGTGGCGCTGCTCGGCATCAACGGCGGCGGCAAGACCACGACGCACGCGCTCATCCGCGGCGAACTCGTTCCGGACTCGGGCAGCGTGGTGATCGCTGGAATCAGCGTGGCGCAGCAGCGCACGCTGGCGCGCTCGCACATTGCGTCGGTGCCTCAGTTTGACGGCCTCGACCCGCTGCTAACGGTGGAAGAGCATCTGCGCACGTACGCGCGCATCAAGGGCGTCGAGAAGCGTCTACGCCGCGACAATGTGGCAGCTGTGATGCACCTTACCAACCTCTCGCAGTACGCCGACCGACGCGCCGGCGCTCTGTCTGGCGGCAACATGCGCAAGCTCTCGCTGGCGATTGCGCTGCTGGGCAATCCGTCGGTGCTACTGCTGGACGAGCTGTCTTCGGGCGTGGATTCGTGGACCAAGCGCGGGCTGTGGCAGACGCTGCGCCGTGCGGGCAAGGGGCGCGCGACACTGCTCACGTCGCACAGCATGGAGGAGGCGGCGGCGCTCGCCTCGCGCGTGGCGATCCAGGCGTCGCGCATCCTCGCCATCGATACGATCGGCAATCTGCGCAAGAGCCAGCCCGCGTACGAGCTGCAGCTCGACCTGGCCCAGGAGCATCGGGGCTCGCACGAGGCATACGGCCGCGTGGAACGGCTCGTCAAGCAGCTCTTCCCGCACGCGACCTCATCGGACGAGGCAAGTGCGCGCTTCGAGATCCCGCTCGCAGAAGGGCAGTCGGTCTCTTCGCTCTTCCGCAAGCTCGAACAGGCGAGCCAGGAGCGCGAGCAGGCCGGTATCGTCGGCTACCAGATCTCGCCCGTGTCGCTCGAGTCGCTCTTCCTCCAGATCGTGCGGCAGGCGCAGAGTGCCGCCGCCAGGGACGAGATCGGCCGCCACCAGGGCTGAGTCGGCGAGTCCTTGATGGCCGAGCATGTAACATTCATTCGTTTGGAATCACATAGACTTTCTCGGTATGCCTGGATGTGTTGGCAAGCTGCAGGAGAGTGGGAACTTGGAGGGTTGCGGCGGGTGTGAAAGTGTTAGAGCGCTCTGGTTGCGGGGCGTGGATGCGGGACGTGGAGGTTTTGGATTCCCGCGGAGATTAGGGTTTTGGGCGGTGTATGCTGATGCCATAACGCGGCGTTCGCTTTCACGCTATCTTGCACCATCACCATCATCGAGTCCTACGAACCTTCGCTATGCCTGGTGGGAACGTGCATCTTGTGGTAGTGCACCACGGACTATGGGGCTCTCCCGAGAACACCGCGTACCTGTGCACGACTCTTGCGCGATTTCACGGCGGAGTCGCGACGCCTAGCAGCAAGCTGACCCCACCCGAGTCCGAGGCCACACTCTCTGCGCATGCCGACACGCACGCCAACGCGGGGGCGGATACGCGGCTGGTCGTGCATAACAGCTCCGTCAATGCGGCCGACCATACGTACGACGGCATCGACTGGTGCGCAGAACGCCTCGTAGCCGAAGTCTACGCGCAGATCACCGCACTCGAAGACGACGAAGCTAGAGTAACCAAACTAAGCCTGGTGGGGTACTCGCTGGGAGGGTTGGTGGTGAGGTATGCAGCTGGGCTCATGTATCTCGACGGTGTGTTTGGCGACAAGACCGCGACGGTGGAGTTCAAGTCGCGACCCGAAGCAGCCTCGTTGTCCACCATCGCCACACCTCACTTGGGAATCCTCGAAACTGGCACTACCTTCAGCAAGGTCGCTGCATTCTTTGGCGGACGAATCTTAGGCAGGACAGGAACACAGCTCTACCTCAAGGATCGTAGTTGGATTCCATCGAAAGGGTCGCAGGGCATGTGTTTGCTCGAAGCCCTGGTGGATGATCGCTTTGCTTTCATCTCTGCACTCAAGCTGTTCAAGCGCATAGACATCTACGCTAATGCGGTGGCGGATCTTACGGTACCTTATCGTACTGCTGCATTTGAACAACACGATCCCTTCGTCTTGCCTCTAACACTGGTTCGAGATCCCGATTTCCCAGTTCTCCTCACCTCATACACATCAAAGACGCCCGAACCAAAGTCAACGTGGTCCAAAGTATCGTCCAAGCTTTCACCCCGCAACTTGCCGTGGATTTTGAATCCACAACGCATTCCGTTCCGCTTCCCCCTCAACTACGCTGCATGGTTGGGCCTTCCCATCCTCCTCCCCGTCATGATCGGTCTGGTCCTACACAAGCTCAAATCCGACAGCAAAGTATCCAACAAACGAGTGGCCCAGTTCGAACAAAAGTACGCCCAAGATCATCATCACCCCCCAGCAGCCGCTGCAGACGAGATGCAACAGAAACGCTTCGCAAGACTGCTCGCCACCGTAGAGGCAGATGCCGAAGAATCCCTGCGCGAACTCGGCGAAGACTTCGTAGACATCCAACCCAAAACCCCATCACACGACAAGACCGATTCAAACCCAACATCCATCTCTACAGCAACAAACCACACCGCAAAGTCAGAACTCCCCCTCTCAGACATCCAGAACCGCATCGCTTCCACGCTCAACAACAAGTCCCTCCTCCCCCAGGTGCAAAAACACCTCGCCCATCTCGACGATGTCCTCAACGCACACGCCGTCATCATCGTCCGAACCACCACCATCGACGCACACAAGAAGGGCATCCCCCTCATCAACGCCTTCGTCCAGCGCTTCGCTCTCTAGATCCCCCCACACACGCCGTAGAGAACTTGACTTGGGACATGCAATTAGAATCCACCGCCGGCGGGAAAGAGTGTTGGATACAAGTACAGCGCGTGCGGGATGAGGTATACAGAGAGAGAAGCAAGAGTGCGATGCAGTGCGTGCGGGTCGAGGCAGGCGTGTCGAGGGAGACACAGATTAGTGTTGAGAACAACGGGAAAGAGGGAGGGAGGCTAGAAGGTCGACTCCTTGCTGTAGCCGCAGAGGTACGACTCCCAGTGGCCAAAGTAGTCGCGGTCCTTGGTGGGCGCGGCGCGCGGAGCGATGCGCGGGGGCGCGTGGGGCGCGAGAGCACATGCGACGGGCGGGCTGAGGGGCGAGCGGAGCGGCTGTCCGTACGCGTTCCGCTCGGGCTCGACGACGGCGCCGACGTGCGCGGCGCTCTGTCGCTGGCGCCTGTCGTGCTGTGCGCGCGTAAAGTCGATCATGGCGGCGAGCGTAGCGGACGGGGACAATTGTACGCTGGGCTTGCGGTCCGGCTCGTTGCGCACGGCATCGCGCGCGTAGCGTGACACGGTGGTTGAAGCGCGAGGAGGCTCGACACAAGCTCCCGGAGTGAGTGGCGAACGGTCCTCGTCGGACGAAGCCATGCCGGGCTGCATAGGCAGCGTGTGGGAGGGCATGAGCGGGGCTACGCCCGACTTGGGCGAGACTGGTTCGTCAATGGGGAGCGAGATGGCCGCCTTGGTGAAGTGGGTGCCGAGCTGGAGCCGACCGTTGCTTGCGGAGGAGAGCGAGAGCATGCGTGCGCCTGTGTAGTCGAGCTGGTGGTCTACGATGGGCCAGAAGCGCTGGCGTTCAGGAGCGCGCTTGGCATTGCTCTCGTCGTACATTTCGAGCGTGTGTGCGAGCGGGTTAGAGATGCTTGCCATGCGCGTCCAGCCGATGGGAGCGGTGCGCGTGGCCGAGAGCAGACGCAGCTCGGGCAGCACATCCAGTCGCGGAACACTCTCAGCTGCCGCAGATGCCCGACTTTGGGTGTCGGGGCCGCGAGTCTCTGTTCGGGAGGATGCGCGTGCCTTGCGGATAGCGTGCGCCGTGTCGGAGTGGCGCTTTCGTTGACGTTTGAGAGCTCGACGCCATGATGAGGCAACGGAAGGCAGGGACGAGGGGGAAGTCAAGGGCAGAGAGGCGGATGTGGATCGTCCAGCGTAGAGCCTGCGCTTCGAGTGCACTGGCGAGACCTGCGAGCGATTCCTTTTGGCGAGCCTGTGCGAGGAGACGTCGTCTTCAGAAAAGACCGTTTTCTGAGCGAGGTTGCTGCGAGAGCCAGTCAAGCGACGGTGTGTGCCCGACCAAGCATGGGCTTTATGTGTGGCGCGGCGGCTTGAACGGCGATGCTGATGCATGTGGATGTCGTCGAAGCTGCTGGCACTTGAATCCGAAGCCTGGGTGAGGGGCGTCTGGGACGACGAGGGAGGGCAGGAGCGAGGCGACGCTTCGCTCAGCGGTGGCGAAGGCGATGGAGACTTGAGGGATTGAATATGTGCGGGATGCGGTACGAAGACCGACGAAGTAGTGCCAGAGGGTGGCAACGAGGGCTGTTTGTGGGTGCGTGGAGGCGAGGCGGTGGGTGGCGTGGAGAGCGAGTGGACGCGTTTGCGCATCTCGCGGAAAGCGTCGGATTGGTAGGGTTCCAAGGGCGACATTGTGTTGCGCGATGGACGAGAAAGCGATGAGGAACAATGCTCCACTCGATCAGTGCGCGAAGCGATCGAGGGAGGGCCCAAGGTGGCTGAAGCTCCAATGTGTCAGACCGGTCGGAGGCGAGAGGATGGTGCGCAGAGCGAATTGGTAAGAGCAGCGATGGCTGGCGCGAGCGGATTGAGCTGGTTGATGGTTGGTCGATATGGGGCACGGAGATGGTGGTCGCAAGATGGTGAGACGGAGCAGCAATGAGCAGTACGAAGAGAGAGGGCAGCGAGGGGAGCGGCAAGGATGGCGTTGGGGGGGCACTTTATTGGCAGGCGTCAACGTGACTGAGCGGCTGCGCAGCTGAGCAGCAGAGAGACTGTGTGTTCTGAGCGAGCCAAAAGGCAGGCCGAGGCTGACAGGCAGGCATGATGAGCAGTGGAGCGGCTGCATGCACACACACAGGCACTCACACACACACTCACACAGCTCACACTCTTGCCATGAGTGCGAATAAAGCGTTCTCGGTGGGGCCGATGCTCCGGCACAGTCGCGGATGGCGCACCCAGCTCCCGACGATCTGGATGTCCAGCTGCGAGCTCATGCCGGGATCGCAGACGAGACGCACAGCAGGGCAGCGCAGGCCAGGGCAGCGACAGAGAGACGAGTCGGGTCGAGGCCCTGGGATGCACGGAAGCCATGGCGCTTCGACTCGACGTCCGATGGGCGCTTGGACGCTTGCGAGCGCAGAGGCACGCCGCCATCGAGCGGATGTCACGATCTTGGAGCGCATCGCGTCGCATCCAAGCGCTCCCCAACGGCAGCCTGCCAGTCATGAGCCTAATTTCTCACACCGAAGCCCAGCCGTGCGCGGCATTTTGCCTCCCTCGTATTGTGTATTTTTGCTCGGCGCGTTTGCGTGGATCGGCGTGGCAGCAAGGAGTGGCATCACTTCTGGGTGTGGGACGCTTTGTCGGGCGTTGCGGCGGCTCGATGATGAACATGTGCTGATGCGCATCCAGCAGCTCCTCCCTCTCTCCTCCGTCCTGTGTTGCTCAGACGTAGGCGCATCCCTGGCTCCCTCTCAAATCACCCGGAGCGGCCACATGCACCGCGTGTGTGGGATGTGGGCACAGCCAAGGAGTGTGCTGTCATCAAAGCTTTGGCCGGGCGCCCACCTTTGGCCAAACGGTGACTGGCCATGGTGACGACAAAAGAGGGGCGACAGCGACTCAGTGCAATCCGTCGTCGATGCGCGCAGGCCGATGAAGGCAGCGTCGGCGAGTTCGGGTCGAGTGCGAAGATCGAGTCGCCTGGAAGCTCAGCTTCAGCCGGTGGTGAGCCTAAAGCTGTCCCGGATGGATGCCGCTTATTTCGCCGCTCTGCAGCATGCGGCGACTTTGTCTGATGATCATCTCGGATCCTCCGCGACAAACGTAGGGCGCAAGTCGCGAGTAGCGGAATTGCCGCGACAGTGCAGCGTCATGTCGACGTAACCTCACCAACGATTCCATCTCGACTCGTAAGTCGCCCTGCGCATCGGCTAGGCCGGCAGGAAAATAACCTTGTTTTCTCACGCCCGTCTCGTCTCGCCTTGCCATCTGTCTTGGGCCAGCCGTCTTGCGCCCTCTGTCTTGCACCTGTGACAATGTGATATCAGGTGGGGCTCTTGTGTGGCTGGAGGCCAACAGACAGCGTCATACCCGCCGGCCATATGGATTGCTTGGGGCGGTGGACAATGCGAAGGCAGCGCTTGGAATCCTGCTCGACAAATCGTCCGAAACCGATCAACGTCACACGCGTCCGCAGCCGCCATCGAAGACGCCCACCTCACCCAGGAATTTCCAATTTTCGGTGCATGCATCGCTCGCCCACCTCCCAACGCACACACAACAACCGACGCTCGGTGGGGGCCACTCCTGCTCGCAACACGCTCCATCGCCATCCACAGCCGTCGATCGCCACGAACGCTGGTCATGGCCGAGACTGCGGCGAGCATCCCTCACTCAGGCACCGATGCACTCGCACCGAATCTCTGCATCATCTCAGACACCTCGAAATAAGGACTCCCCTGCGGATGCGGTCGAGTGCAACCCTACCCATCCAGGCAACCACCCACCGGCTTCATTTGCTTTGTCATTGGTCAAGGCGAGAGGCTGCAACAGAATCGTATGATGGTGACGAGCACTTGACTTCAACGGCGATGCTCGAAGGTAACGTTGACGACTGATGTTCGTCTAGCTCGGGCTGCGCATGACGCCTTGTTTTGATGGGGCACAGCTACGTCGGTGGGCGGCAAAGAGGGACGCACGACAAGGTGTGCATGCATGTCCAGCCGAGCGTCCAGACGACCACGACCATCGGGGTTGTTTGCGGCCCCACGCCAGCGTGGTGGTCGGTGGCAGCCTCGGACGCTCGCTTCGATGCTCGCTACCGCCGCCATGGCTGCAACACGAGCCTAAATCAAGCGAACGATCTCGACGAGTGTCTCACCCAGACCAGCTGTTCCCCAGCCGTGGTTTCTGGATCGCATGGCCCTTGGCATCGCAGCTTTGCTCGCGCGCGCGCCTCTCCAAATTCCAAGATCGTCGGCGGCGCCGGCTAGGCTGGCCACGCGTGCCTCCGAGTTGAGTGACAAGCGCGCTGCTCGTGGCGATCGGGCGATTTTGAGAAACTCATCCTAACCCTCGCTGCGCCGCGCTGTGCCGCGTCGATCTTGAAATTTCCTGGCGAGTCCCACCCATCGCCGGGCCGGCGTCACCCCTGCGCTCCGCGTCGAGAGCGCCCGCCTTCCCGATCGAGCGGCGGGGGCGGGCAGTGAGTCATTCTCCGTGGCTTGGCTGCGATCTTGAGCATCAGATCTAAACGAACAAAGGCACCGGCGTCCCATCCAGAACGACAGCGATCCCGTCGGCGAGGCATCCCTCCTCTCCGCCGTGGACCGCCTGCGGAAAAAAGGGACAAGCTTAAGCTTGACGCTCTTGCGACTCTGCGCACGATGCAGAGTATGAACACGCTGGCTGCGCCAAGGTTACGGTTTGCTGCTGCCCACCCAGCTTTGCAGAGTGTGCTGCTGCACGGCGCGATCGAAGCTGCCATGCGCGCGGTCCATGAAAATGTGCATTCGGATGCCATCCGCGCCCAAGGCTGCCGAACTACCGCGGCGTATTTCGACCCCCGCGAGCGATCCGAACTCAACCGGCACGGCTGCTCCGAACGTGCATGCTTGCGCTGAGCTCGTGCATTTTTGTAGGGCCTTCGAGCGTGGCGGAGCTGCAGAGGGCATTTGTGCATTGAACCAAATGAGACCGAGATGGGCGATGGCCGCTAGCTTGGGTGGTGGCACTTGCAAGGCCTGGACCGTTGCTCCCCGCTCGCTAGCTCAACTGCGTCTAAATTACGCAGAGGTGAAAGCCGCCGACACCGCCATCTTGATCCTGCGCCGCGATCGCACGCCGCACCTCCTTGAGTGAAGCCTCTTGATCGCGCCGGGAGTGTGGGAGCTGCGCCGTGCCTCTCTGTAGTCGCGCGGGTTCAGACCTCGCCCCGCCGATTCGCATTCCGCGCTGCTCTCATTCTCACTCGCCGATGCTTCCACGCTATCGAACCGGGCATGGAGCGTGATTCATGAACGAGTCTCGAGTGGCGATACGCAGCGCCATCGGAAGCACCGAAAAAGCTGCTCGGATGCGCCGACGAACCCATGCACGCATCGATGGCACCCCCGACAAAAGTGGATTGCAAGTGCGGATTAGATGCATTGCGAGGGTCTGTCACCGCAGCTAGAGCAGCCCGTTCTGCTTGAGAAAGTGCACCTCTGAGGGTGCGAGCAAGTGCTGCACTTCCTTGCCTTGGCCTGGCGACTCGGCTCGGCCCTTACTAGACGCGCCTACAGCCAAGCTCGAGGTGACGGCGCGCATCTTCCCTGGCGGCGTTTTCTCGTCGATTGCTACTTGGTGAGCAGCTCTCAGACGCGCCCTTATCCCGAGAGGGTCGTTCTTCGCCTTTGCCACATCCATCTCGTTCGCCGCGGGGATGATGAGCAGTGGTGCATCGCAGAGGATGCGGCCGTAAAGTCGACGTTGTGCTCTTGCGGTGTAGTGTTTGGGATGCGACGACCAGCCGTGCACTCTCAACGACCGCTTTCGATGTGCAGCACCAGACACATCCGATCGGTACATCTCCACCGCCCCCCGAGCGGCTGCAAGGTACGGTCGATCTCCCACTCTAGGGCCCTGGCCTCGAGCCAAGTTCTCGAGATGCGCAAAGAGCGACGGAGCGGGAGTTTCGGCCGAGACGACGTCGATGGGCAGCTTGATCTTGCGCAGATACGTCCTCCTATACCTGGCCATTGCATTCTGCAGCGTTCTCGCTCGCTTGGCGCGGCCAAACATCGTCACGAGCGGGTCGTCCTCTTTGGGCAAAAACGGCGGCGGAGGTCTTTCCGTCATGTGCGCTGCCATTTTCACTGCTGCCCCGTTCATCGTAGCTGCATTCGTCATAATCGCCAGTAGCACTGGAGATACCTGCTCTGCGCGCGGCACCTCTCCTTCATCGAGCTGCGCGCTGGGGGCTGGCTTGGGTGAGAGGTCGGAGAGGGCATCGCGGCGCAGTTTTCCGCTGCGCGCATACGCGAGCGAGAGCGCACGGTGCACTGCATGTTCCCAGCCGTGATTGGCATCTGCGAGCTGACGACGATGCAGCCGTGCGCGTGCGAGCCGCTTGGACGCTGTCGACGGTGGCCATCCCTCGCTTGGCGGAGACGAGGTGAGAAGCGGTTCGATGTTCTTGCGCGCAAGGAAGCGGTGCGAGCTGTAGAGGATGGGATCGTTGAATGTGGCTGATAGCAGACGTGCTTGGTGAAGCAGAGTGCGGTACAGATGCTTCAAGCCTTCCTGGCTCGCGCCCGACACGAGCCGTCGTGACGAACTCGAACTCGATGCCATGCTTGCCGTCGGATGGTGGACCAGGCACAGGTAGCGAAAAAAACAAGGGTCCAGGTATTCCTTGGCCTCAAAGGCCGACTTCCGAACCGCGCCTCCAACCGCGCCTCCATGCACACACGCGCCCCTTCCAACGCCTTCTTCTTCCTGGACCCCTTCGACCTATCTATTCACCATGTCTTCATCCACTTCGCCGGTCGTGGCTGGGGAGGGCTTTTGGGCGGACCTGTTCAACTCGGTCTTCTCGCCCGAATACAACACCGTCCCACAGCGCCTGATGAACTACGCCTTCTATGCGCTCTTTGTCGTGCTCGCCATCCTCGTCTTTCTCACCTCGTACAATCCGCACGTCATCGCACTCCTCACCCTCGCCCTAGGCCTGTGGATGAGCATCAACTGGTAAGCCCTCTTTTCCTCACTTGCCCCATCACCCAGAACTTGGCATGCTGATCGGTCCGCTTGTCGACACAGGTTCATGAAGGAGCTCGCCAAGATGCCCGCTTCGTCCAAGCAGGTCCAGCAAATGCCCGACAGCGCACAAACCGAAGCCAAAAAGGACCTCTAGCCATCACACTGCCATCAAAGGATACCCAATTTCACCCCAGGTGCACGCTCGTTCTCGTCATAGATCTGCATGAATCGCAATGAAAGCATCACCGAGGCTACTTTTGCGGAGGTGGATCTCGTCGCGAGCTAGCTCTATTAAGCCTATCTGGCTTGGGCGATCCCACTCCCGAGCCTTTATCCTTGAGCAAGGACTGGAAGAAGCTGTGGAGCACTTCGCTCTGCTTTGGTGCACCTGGCGATGCCGCGCTGGGGCTCATTGCTGGACTTGCGGGTCTGCTTCTCTCGCCCGTCATGGCTGCTACGGCCGCAGCGGCTGCAGCCGAAGTGCTTTCGCGCCGAACCGGTTCGATTCTCGGCTTTGCCTCTGTTGGCTCCTTGCTCTCCCTCGCCATGTACTTTTCCACCGAGGGCAGCGCAGCACTCGCGCCTGTCATCGGACCAACGACTCCGCGCTTGCTGAGCTTCGCCCTCGGATCGGGGTCCTTTTGAAGCGTTGCGTGGTGGCCACCCAAAAACGCCTGCTCGTCAGGAATCCGCACCCTGTTGACCGTATCTTTGCCCGCAGGTCCTGCTTGCCAGTCGGACACAATGTCCTCGTACAGCTTCATGGCCGACTGAACCTCCTCCCCATCGCGACGCTCCAACTGCAGTTCCTTCTCGAGTTGATCTTCGACTTCCTTGGTGCGTGCCAGACCGCGCGCGCGACGTTGACGCTCGATCTCGCAATCGCTCTCCCACCCCTTGCCCAAGCTTTGGCAGTCAAAGGGCTCGCGCAGCGCACGGATCTTGCCCCAGCTATCCCAGCCCGCAGGCACAAGCAGCGTATCTCGATCCGTCGTCGACGCGCGGTACGCAAAGCCAAACGCCGCCGCACCCCCCGCCGCAGCCCCATTCGCCACACCACCGGCTGAAGCGGATGCGCTCGTGCCCGTCTGCTGCTGGTGTTGGTGCGACGGCGTAAAGAGTCGGTGGAGGAGGTAGGAACGCAGGATGTCGATCGACTGCGCGCGCATCGACGACGTGTAGAAGAGCGCTGCGCCGTACTTCATGCACACGGTGCGCAGCACCTGCTGGATGTAGTCGAACTGCTCGTCTTTGAACTCGCTGTCGCGCTCGAGCCGCGCAATCGCATCCGCCTTGGTGCACACCACCACGATCGGAATGCCGAGATTGTCGGTCAGCATGCCGTCGGTGAGTGGATTGTCGTCCCCACCCTCGAGCTGAACGTTGACCGTGGTGATGGGTGGCGCCAAAGCCGATGCCTCCGCCGATGCGTCTTGTTCCGAGGCGGCACCGAGCGCGCTTGCATCCGCACCAGCGCCTGCGTCGACCGGCTTGGGCGCAGGCTCGACGTACGCGCGAATGTACGCCTCGAGACGCTCCCTCATCTCGTCGAGCGCCACACGCGTCTTGCTCCACTTTGCATCTCGCTGCTGTTGCGACGAGAGCGCGCCGTCCGAGGCGCGATCGATGAGCTCGCGCAGGATGCTGATCCAGTTGCGCAGCTGCTCCAGAAAAGTCCATGGCTGCTCCCAGTCGAGCACGATAACGACAAGCGAGTCGCGGAGAGAATCGATGGATGCCTTGCCCAATGGCCCACGGTTCGGGTCAGGGGACGAAGCTGGGCGTGTGGCCGAGGACGAGATAGTAGCGGAAGCAAGCGTCGCCATTGCAGCAGCGGTGTCTTGCTCGGTCGAACTGAGGTTGGACTCTGGAAACGCATAGGGCAGCAGAGATGTGTACGCAGCATGCGACGAGTGGATCGTGTAAGCGCCCACACGAGCCACGGTCTCGTCTCTATCCTTCTCGTCTGGCACATCAAAGTAGGCGTAGGCGAGCCCGAGATCGACGCTACGGGAGGTGCTCCTCGAAGCCGCTGCCGCGGTCGTCTTGTCATCGACAGCAGTAGTGCTGGGCGCGTCTTGGGCGTAGGAAGAGCGGCCGCTGACGAGACCCGAGGGGGAGGTGGAGGCGAGTGCGGTGAGGAGCGACGACTTTCCGGACGCGGGCTCGCCCAGAAGCACTACGTTCTTCGTGGAGATGGCCTTGGAGCTCTTGACGCTGTTGAGGATGCTGGACCACAGATCCTGCTGAGGCGCCGCATCTTGATCTATTGGCTCCGTGGCCGAGGTGTGGCCGTTTTGGAGGCCTGTCTTGAGCGGATTCGCTGGCGAGGCGAGGACGTTCATGATGGGCAAGCGGCCGGATCCTGCGTGGGCTGCCTAGCGGTGTAGATCCGTGCAGCGAGAGTGATGGTGGAGGTCGGAGAGGCAGAGCAACACCGCGAGTGAAGCGGGTTGTGAGCGTGGCATTTCGAGCCCAAAAGTAACACGCGCGCCTCGCTTTCACTTTGGCTTGGGTGCTGCATCGGGCATTCAGCCGTGCCGATTGCCTGCGATTGGCGTACGCACGACAGCAGGGCAACAGCCGCCAAGGCCATCGCGGCGTTCAAGAGCCTATCTTAGCAGCCGTGAATCAGAGCAAGGCCACCCGATCCAGAGCCTCGCTGAATGGCAATCTTGGCTCGGTTACGCTTTTTGGCTCGGCTGGTCAGTGCTGAGCAGTGCGGACACGGCTGAGCCGCCTCGGCCGCCGCGGATGGCCTCCACTCGCTGGCTGCTCAGTTGCGCTCCCTGGCAGCAGCAGCAGCGGCGGCGGCGGCGAGGGAGCAGCACCCGCCTGCCCTCTCCACCACCACCACCACCCCGCCGAGTCAACCTCCAATCATCCTCTATACCCTTCGCCTCTCCGCCAAATCAACAGTACAATGTCGAGTCCGCGACACTCTCCGCCTCCGTCAGCTGCGGCTCCCAGGCCCAAGGGCATCTTGAAGAACGCAGGCGACCGCAGACCGTCGCAGGGAGAAGCGCTGGGCCAGGACGAGGATGCTGCCAACAGGTGAGTCCACACCGCGCAACGAAGGATGGGAACGGCAGATGACTGACCATTCCTCCACTGCATGCTTGCTCAGACTCCAATGGGACGAAACCAACCTGACGCTGCACGAGATTGAGCGCGAACAGCAGGAGGCGCGCATGAAGATCGACGAGCCCAAGACTCCCTTTGTACATGGCACCTCGATCGGCCCAGTCGGAGACGACGATGGTAAGTGCGCTGCCCAAGTTGCTTTATCCGACAACATGCGAGACTGACTGTCGAACTGCCCTTTGTTTCGCAACAGTGTTCGATCTCGATGGCGCTGCACCGAGCTCCAACGCGGGCGGAAGCCGTCGTGGATCTTCGGCCGCAGAGCAGCTGGCGGCCAACACGTCGGCCAACGCCGGACGCAACCCTGGCGAAGGTCTAGGCATCGCTGTCGGTCTCGATGCTGCCGACCTGGCCAGAGGTGCGAGCGCCTCGGGCGAGGGCGATGTGCGACCGGTATCGGCTCGATCCACGTCGCGCTCTCCGTCCTTTTCGCTGCCTCCCAAGAGCCCGTCGTCGCGACGCTCCAGCTCGCGATCGGCCACCGCCATGGCAGACGACCAGCGAAGCGACGTTCGCCAACAGGCGCACGACATGGACCTCGACGACGGCGTGGATGGCGAGGTGGAGGAGGAAGATCCGGATCCCGAGAGTAAGTTTGACGATCGCCGACACGAGGTGCGCTGAGTCCGCTGCTGACCCTTGTCTTGTTTGCGTCGTTTCAGCTCAAGCCAAGCACGCCGCCTTTGCCGCCAAGCGCAACCAGCATTACGGCAACGAGGCCGAGGCGATGAAGATCGCTGCAGCGCTCGCAGCCCACGACGACGACGACGATGAGGACGAAGACGGAGTGCCACCGCTGCCCAAGGCCCCCAATGGCACAGCAGCGCGATCGTGATCTCGGTCACTGCAGGCCGCCTTGGCTACGTCGCATCTGAATCGACTGTTGTTGGCACTGCCATGCGATGCGGGTGCAGTGCCTGTGTGTAAGAGAGCTTGCCCCTGTGGCGGTTGCTACTTGATAGTGAGGACCCCTTTGGTTGGAGCGGGTTGGAGCGGTGAGGAAATGTGGAGGCGTCAGGCTCTCAGGCTGCCGAGGGGTTCATTTTGCGGGAGCATCACCACCGCGGGCGGCTCAGTTGAGAGTCCAACGCGCTCCGACGCAACGGCCCAATCAACACCTGCCGGCTCAAAAGCTCGAGGTTTTTGGTTTTTGGGATTTTTCCCTTTGAGCCGCTCCACCTCACTCGAGTTGCGGCCCTACGAGTGGCTTTGTCACGACCCACCACCATCACCACCATCACCTGCATTGTCTCGACTCTTGGCCCCATAGGATACCCCTTTTCACCTCACGATCTCGATACGACACTCTCACGCACACACCACCCTACACGGGTCCTACTTGGCCGCCACATCACGCATACACTGACTCGACGCAGGGATCGCGAGCATGGACCTGTCGAACTTGCGCGCGAGTCTGCGCGAAGAGGAGGCCTCGACGCGGCGGCGCACGTCGCACCTGCGTGCGTCCGAGGACGAGCTGAACGGCGTCTTCCGCACTTCTGCACTGGGGCTGACGACGCTCTACAGGCAGGCGGTGGCGGCGTCCAAGGCGTCGTATGAAAAGGGCTATGCGCACGCGCTCGCGCATGTGCTCGAGCTGTGCGACAACGACCGCGACTGGCTCAAGGGCTACCTCCAGCGCAGGATCGAGGCGATCGAAGCAGTCGAGGACGAGTCGGACGACAGAGAACCCCCTCCAACGCAGCATCAAGATGCCGAGGAGATCCATTCGTCCCCCGCCGTGGCCCGCAATCACGCCAGCACCTCGCAGCCTCGACCTACATTCGAGGCTTCGCCAAGGCACAACAAACGCACACGAGGCGCTACCTCCACCAGCCGTACAGCCGCCGTCGATGACGAGCAGCACGATCGACGCATCTCGAACCGCGGTGCCAGCTCATCGCGCACCCGCCCCACCACCACCTCCGCCTCAACCTCGGCCTTTTCGGCCAACTTTGACTTTGCCGCCCCCATTGCCTATCCTGACGCCAGTGCTGGGCGGGGTGAATCGAGCGCATCTCGAACCCCGCGCACCACCTCCCGCACCGAGACACCATCGATCAAGACTTCGAATCCGGCGGCACAGCGTCGGCGACTGCACAAGCTCAAGGGGCTGCGTGCGGGCAAGGACCGCGTGCTCGAGGTGCACGCCGACCGTGGTCCCGACGACATGGATGATGGCGAGGAGGACGAGGGGGAGTGGACCGACGACGACGAAGAGGCGAGGGGACGCAGGGTTGGATGGGCGGACAAGGAGCGCGAGGATGAGGCCGAGGCAAGGGTGGTAGAGAGGCTCGATCGAAGGAAGAGAAGAAGGACGTTTAATACCACCGCGGCGGCGGGAGAGGAGGGCATGCATGCGTAGTCGTAAGCAAGAGCAGGTAAATGCAAGAGACCAATTGCACTGTGCTTGCACCGAGTCTTGTTTGGTTCGCAAGCTGCGCGAGTTGTGAGACAAGTTGCAGGATGGGTGTGGGAGTGGATGTCGGACTTGAAAGCCGCACGGCATTGGTATTGCATCGTCCGCATGCTCAGCTTGGTATCGACAGAGTTGGCATCGATCGCACTGCTGGGCGCATCTGCACGCATCTTGGGCTGCTATGCTCCGACACTTGTCAGCGTGCCTACCATCAAAGTGTGCGCGCAAAGGCGAGTATCTCTGACCAGAACAACAAGGCATGGCTTGAGCTTTATGTCTGTGATGCTACAAGCGTGCATTTGTGTCACAATTCCCGCATATCCACTTTAGCAGCCCCGTGTTTCCCTACAGCATCAGGACCGGGAGTGTGCAGCACGAGGGTCAAAGTCTTTACCTCACAATCATGCTGAAGAGGCGCAAAGTCAGCTCGGCAGGCGTTTTGAGTGGGTGATAGCTGGTGACGATTCAGCTGCCGAGATGCGAGTGTGGCAAGTTAGGCTTGCATAGCAACGGCATTGAGATGCGCACATGGAGTTGGGTCCACAAGAATTGCCTTTAGCACTCGCACGCATGCACATGCCGCCTTTCCACAGTGTCACCCGATCCGAGCCTTGAAAACATCGCTAGATCCCACGCCCAGCTGCAATGGCTCGAGCTATGACCGTCATATTTCCATCGCATTCGGCAGTGTCTGGGCCCTTGCACTGGATTTCGACAAACGCCCTCGCTAAGCGGTGAGAGCACTTGGTCCTTGGTCCTCTTGGTGCATGTACTTGCTCGGCCTCGCCTTTGCTCTGCGCTCTTGGTCCGCGGGCAAGGCCAACGGCTCATCGACGCGTGTCGTAGGATCGCAACGCAAGGTGTTCCGTCCCACTCTGCCTCCCGCACAGAGGACCATCGCAAACACCGGCTGTGAGCCACAACTTTCCACCCACCCTTGCAACCAGCAGTAGCTTGTGGATTTGGGCATCTTCTACACCTCCCACTCGAACCTAAGCTCGCCCGTCTCGAGCGCGGACGTCTCCATGACACACCTCTCCACCGCAACTTGCAGCTCGAAGAGCATGCTGCATCGCACGTCTGTCAGCTTCACCACTCGGACATTGGGAGAAAAGCACATGAAGATTGCAAGCTCTAGCCCTTCCACTCGAACCGAATCTCGCCCGTCTCGAGCAGCTCGTCGTCGTCCTCATCATCGTGTTCGTCCTCGCTCGGCCTCTGCTTGCCCTTGCGCTGATCCTCGGCTTCGAACGCGAACGGCTCGTCGTCCGACGCTCCGAGCTCGCTCACGTCGTCGTTGTCATCGTACCCCTCCGAGTCGTAGAACACCTGGCCCTCGTCCTCGCTCTCTGGCTCTGCTGTAATCACCGCGCCCACCAGCGGCGATGTTGCACGCGGCGAACGCGACATCTCGTCCGGCGACGCTGCCCGCCGCCTCCAAGGTGCAGTCCATGACGATCCCGAAGGCGAAGTGCTCATCCCCTCGTCGGGGTTCGACTGAAGTGCCGGTTCAGCCGACGTCGCCCGCTGTTTTCGATCAACCTCCTCCTCCTTAACCGACCCTTTCCGCGACAACCCCAACGAGCCCAGACCAAACCGACTCAACCGGCCCGGTTTCTCCTCCACCCCCACCGCCGTATCCGACGTGACCGACCTGACCGACCGCAACGATCGCCCCGACCGCGCCGACAGCGCAGGCGATACCGGCGGTGTACCCAGCAGCTCGTCATCCGGCGGCAAGTCCACCTCGACAATCGCCGGACGCCAGTAGTTGAAGTCGTTGTACTCCGGTTTGCGCGGCTCGCGCTCCTCCTTGGCCGTGATGGGCGGGAACATCTGGTCGACCAAATCCGTCATGTGGATGTACGACGACTTGTACCCCGCCAGCTCGAGCAGCTCCATCTTCACCTCGCCGTTGGTGTCAATCGTAAAGATGCGCGACGAGGGGATGTTGACACTGCGGTACGACAGGGCGTCGGTGATGCGGTTGCCAAAGCCCGCATAGAACGGCGTCGGATGCTCCTCCTTCTTCGCCTGGGCTGCGTTGGGTGGGGGAGACAGAGCACGCGCGCCTCCTAGCGTGGGCGACGACAGGCTCGGACTCAGCTGGCCAGATCGCACGCTGCTCGCATCCGACACCGAGGCCGCCTCGCCATTCTCAGCCGGCGCGGCGGTTGCGGCGCCCGACGACGGACTGTCCTCCGCCCCAGCTCCGGCCTCGGCCGACTCGACCGCATCCCCGTTGGCGCCCTTGAGATCGCCGCCCGGCTGCGAATGTGCCGTGCGCGGATCCGCGCCAAACAGACGCGCGATATCGCGCAGGCACGCCATCTTGAACACCTCGGGCTTGCGCAGAATCACCTCCCTGTGCAGACTCGCAATGAGCCTATCGGGCGACATGATGACCGGTCCGTCCGGCAGCTGGTATCCGTTCTGCCTAATCCCCTTGAGATAGTCGCGCGTCGAGTCGGCCTGCCCGATGGCGCGCGAGGTGAGGTACATGATGCGATACCCGTTCCTTGCAATGTCCGTGTACAGCTTGGCGACGCCAATGTGCGTCCAGTCGCGGCCGATCATGGTGAAGACGTGGCCGAGCGCGTCCGACTTGGTGATGGTGCCGTCGATGTCCGAGACGACGATCTTGTGGTTCGACTCCCACACAAAGATGCGCGCCGAGCACGTCGCCACGCCCGAGTAGGACGAGGTGACGGAGAAGGTGATGCTGTTGGCGCCCTTGCGCAGGTTGAGCGACTTGAGCTGGTCCGACGTGAGCCGCAGCGTCTTGGCGTACGTCTTGCCCGCTCTCTTCGCCGTGCTTGCCGCTGCTGACGCCGCTGGACGCTCGCCGGTCTTGGCAGCCGCCGCCGCCGCCTTGTCCGCCTCAAGCAGCACCGAGTCCGTGTTGGAGCGCTCAAGGCCTGCGCTGTTGGCCGTGCCGACGTCCACAGTGAGCGACTTGGCGGGCTTGGCGACGTCGAGATCGCCCGCGATCGTCTCGGCGTCCCTGCCGGCGACCGTTTTGAGATCGGGGATGCTCTTGCTGCTGCGGCGGAACCAGCGCGACCAGTAGCTGGCGGTGGAGATGCGATCGGCGCCGTCCGCCTCCTCGTCCATGTTGGTGGCCGAGGTGGAGCTGGACAGCGTGCCACGGTACAGCGAGAGCGTCGCGAGCACCGCCGACGCATTCTCCCACGTCAGGAAGCGGTCGTGGTACCGAATGACAAGCCGCTCGTCATTCACCACATCCTCGTCATGCGCAAAGCGCTCAAACGACACGCGGTTCTCTCTGAACGCGTACTCGTCCGCGGCGTCGTCACTGCCGAACTGCGCCGTGTAGCACAGACTGAGCTCAAACGAGTGGGACGACGAGTCCTCGAGCTGGAGCAGGAACGCGTACGGGTCCGCATCGGAGCTCGTGAGCTTGCCCGCGGCCTCGCCTTGCTCGGTCTGGCGGCGGAGCGCGTCGAGCGCCGCGGCGTCGGACGAGCGTGCAGCCTGGTAGCTGTCGGTGCTGGCGAAGCGGGTGCGGCGTCGGCTCGGCTTACCCGTAGGCGTCGAGGCGGACGATTCGGCGGCCGGGTCTGCCCATTGCCACCTGGAGTTGCTCGAGAGGCCGAGATGCGCAGCACCCGCATCGTCGAGATACGCTGGCGCCTCTTCGCTGGGCAGCCTGAGGTCGCGCAGGCTCGAGACGACGCCCGAGACCGAATAGGACGACGTGAGCGCCGCGGTGGAGTTGTCGACCGAGTTGTGTCCCGACGCCGACTTTGCATGCGGCACTTCGGCCTCGGTGTCCGAGAGCGAGAATTCGTGGTGGTGGCGCGAGCCGTGTGCGCTGGTGCGGCGTCTGGCGCCTGTCGAGTTGGCGTCGTCGGCGTGTCTGTTGCGGCTGGTCAGCGAGGCGTGCCTGCGGAGCGACTCGCTTGCCTTGGGCTGACGCCTGCCGCGCTCGGCACGGTTCATGCGCGCGAGCCTGGCGAGGTCTCTGGACAGCTCGAGCTCGTCGCGATGTGCGCTCTGGGCGGGTGCGGACCCGAGGCGCGGCGAAACCTGCTGCGAGCTGAAGCTGGCGATGTTGGTGGCGGCGGAATCGTCGAGGCTCTCGCGGCGTGCATCGCGCTCGCGGGAGTGCGAGTGGGAGGAGCGCGCCGTACGGTAGTCGACTGAAAAGCTGGGTCTGTGCGAGCGCGAACCCGAGCCGCGACGCAGGGAGGCGGACGAGCCCGGGAGCGACACCTTGTGCTGGTGACCGGGACCGTTGAGGCGCTCCGGATGGCCGTGTCGGCCCTTGCCGCCATGGCGCCTACCGAGGGGCATCTCGTCGGCGAATCGATGCCCCTCTTGGAAGGCGAGATCCTCGCCGTCGGCGGTCATCTTGTATCCGTCCATGTCGAGCATGTACTGCAGATCCTCTTTGCGCTGCTTGACCTTGACGGGAGCCACGGCATCGTCTGCAGCGTCGTGAAGGTGGTCGTCGTCGTCGTCGACAGCGGTGTCTTCGTCGTCGTCGTCGTCGTCGTCGTCGTTGTCG